GGTGGTGGAAAAATACCACAATTGCTCCCATGGATGTCTCTATGGACAGTAGATTCTCCACGGATACGAACAATTTTTATTTTTTATTTTTTATGTTTATGTTCAAGATATTCTTAAGTTATTTTTTAAGTATTTCAAGATTAATATTTTTTAAAAAAATTTAAAAACAATAGCTTCCAAATAAATTGAAAAAATTAAAAAAAAATTAATTTCTTAGATATTAACCCTTATATTTGACCACAAAATGATATTTATTTATTAATAAAGTTAATTTTTTAGTTGTATACGTACAAACTTAGTGTTAAGATCCTCCAATTAAGAAAAGTCTTGAAGAGATATTGACTTGATGTGTACATACCACACCATGTTGGCTAGCACCATGGCTAATAGTTTAGTTTCTCTCTTCAAGACTCAAGTTGAAAACCCTTCTATAACACAATTGCTCACATGGATGTCTCCATAGACCCTAGATTCTTCAGCATATAAGTACAAATTATATATATATATATATGAGATAGTATAGGGGAAGTTATCTTTTAAAGTTTTTGTTTTTTTTTTTTTTTTTTTTGAAAGATTTATTTGAGAACTAATTTTTTAATTAATATTTTTAAAACCGATCATTCAATTAAAATTTTTATTTATGTAGATTATGCATGTCAATTTTTATATTGATTTGACACTTAAAACTCTTTAATTAAAAAAATTTTATTTACTAACATATATTTATCAATGTTAAATTTCTTATAATTAATAAAGTGGTTATACCTATTATAACAATTTAAAATTTGGTATTCATAATTTATATAAATAGGATTTTTAATCTAACAGTTAGTTTTTAAAAATATTAATAAAAAACTTAAAATATAAGTTTTTACACATATCCTTTAAAAAAATTTAGAAAAACAACATGCAAAATACTTTTCATATATATATATATATGAGGAGGAATTTATCTACATGCAACTCTTACACTTTACACTTATATAAAATTTTGATTACTCATCTCTCCACTTTTAATAATTGAGATTTATTACAACTTCTTAGATGAAAAAGATAATTATTTTTAATAAATGTAAATAAATTTCAACAATTAAAAGTGAAAAAATGAATAATTGAAATTTTGTGTAAGTGTAGGATGCAACATTTATATAAAAGTGGATTTCTACTTTATATATATGTATACATGTATGTATATATATATATATATATATATATAGCCAATGTGTTCTCAAATAACTTTTTACAAATTTTAAGATTACTAGTTTTCTAAACAATCTTATAAATGTGTACCTCTCACATCAATTTGATGCATTCAAAAGTATTAAATTTTCAAATATTGACTTTATAATTTAAACTCTTAATTTGATCACAAGATAATATTTATTTATTAATAAATCTAATTCTCAATTGTGTACCCACAAGCTTAGTGTTAAGATCCTCCAATTTGGAAAAGTCATGAAGAAATATTGACTTGACGTGTGGCTCTTGCACAAAGGCTAATAGTTTAGCCTCTCTTCATGACACAAGTGGTGGGATTTGAACATTATTATAAATTTGAATGCTATTTTAAAGTAGAATTTCTTGTTTTATATTTTAAATTGTATTATATTATAAAATATAATACAATACATGCATGTGTGACTTTCCTATGGACAATTATAAAGAACTAGTTAATAAGTTGATTAAGTCAAATGCCAG